TATTATTGTTTACCTTGTAAGGTTGTACTTTTGAAAAGCGTAAATAGCGTTACTGCGATAATCCTTTTTTCTTCGTTTGTTATAAAAGTTAATTTTACGTATCTTTTAATCCTTAATTACGGAACTATATAAAAGGGCCCACGGTCCTGCAGTTGCATAATAATACACACTTATGACCTACACAACATCGTACATATATACAAGCATATCTCGTAACAGCAAATATTACAAAAGTCTTCCTGTTTTTATACATTCCTGTTTTTATTTTGTCTCATTTAAGAGTATTCATTGTTTATTTATTAATATAATGTATAAGCATATCCTACGTTTTATTGGATAACATCAGAGAGTAAACTGGCAACGAAGTTTTAATTGTATTGAAAGCGAAATTCATTCCACGGGTCGATAACGTTTTGTTTTTTTTTTTAAATTATCAGCAGTAATATATTACGTCGTCATTTTTGAGAATTCCTTTAATTAATCTCAACATTTTTTTTTAATTGCATAAATACAACTTTTCTTAACGCATTTATCGAAGATACAATGTATTTATTCGTGAGGCGAAGTAATACCTCGAATCGGTCCTGCGGTATTAGGCATGTACATATTTCAATGCTATTGCTATTTGTTTTTGTTATTATTAATATTAATTTCTATCATTTTTTGCGATTTCTATTGAAGTGCAATTAAGACGATGCCGATCCTAAGTTCTACTTTTAACACAGCGAGATGCACAGGCTCGAAGTGCAATCGTCGAAAATTCCGTGATTTTGTAACTTTTAAAATGTTACTATTATATGTATATGTACACGTACAGTCTATTCACGAGCAAAATGTGAGGTCTAGGGGTCTCTTTTACTTTGAGACTGGTATCATGGTGGCCCCTGTAAAATACATATTACTCATGGACTGACTACAAAGAATATAAATAATTCTCGAAATATGAACCGGGTGATTCGAGATAAGATCTTATAGCAAAAATGCAGGAAGTCAATTATCATCCTAAGAGAAAATTATTGCATAACAAAAAGATATTTAAGATCTTAGAATCTTCGAGGACCCTGTATATAAGAAACGTATATAGAGATTGATTCATATTAAATTAATGGTTTCTCATTAGACAATATTCATTTCATGGCTAATACTTGTTTAAAACTTCATGATTTCAGGATATATATATTTTTTTTTTCGAGAATATCCAATATTTATTGTGAATCGATCTGTACACACCTGCGATGTATGTATACAGTTAGTTTTATAAGTGCAACTAGTTTGCCTCGCCAGACAAATGGAAAGTTGGAGGTGCATTTAAACAAAAAATGCAAAAACGATCGACCTTTTCTTTTTCTTTTATTTTTTTTTTTCGTTTTCCTTCGTATAGTCACAGCCGACAGGTGCAATAGGCCTTCGATGCAATCCGTGCAATAAGCGAATGTAAACCAGGCCGTCGTGACGTCGACGTCCTAGAACCGTATCGTAGTGAATCGACGCAGTGGAAACTCTTGAAATTACAATTGTTAACTGTCGCATCGAAGTAAACAAAGCGAAGCAGTGAATATTCATGAAAGTAAACTTTAGTATGTACATGATATTCAAGGAACGTAACGTAACCTTACAAGGACTTTCTACGAGAGGACATGGACGTCGAGTATGTGATACCGATACCGTCCGCGGCCCGGTGAAAAAGCGTCAACCTATATTTATATTATATTAATATATAATATATTCCTTAGTGAATGTAGTTAGCTAAATGAAATAGCGATATTTTTTTGCGAATTTACATTCGCGATTATCGCACTTGCATAGTCGTTTTAATATACATATATATATATATATATATATATATATATGTATGTGTGCGTGCGTGTGTGTGTGTGTGCATTTATAAAGGGACGAGAAAGAATTTATGAAGTATATGAAATTGTAAAGGTATATAAGCATATAATGTATTCGTGAATCGCGAATTATGACAGGCTGCAATTGGACGGACACTAGAGAATTATTGATATATGGAAAGTAATAGTTCTTTTGATGAAAGTCTGAGATTGACTTCAAAACGACTCAACATCTTCCGGCCCTCTGAAGGATAAAGAAGAAAATAAGTCTTGACCGAGATGAAAGCATATTGGAGCAATGACAAATTCTAATATATATATATATAAATGATTAATATTATTATTATTATTATTATTATTCTGCGTTAATAACTGTTGTCAGTTTACAACTAGTTTATTCCTGTATCACGTTAATGTAACCGTTACTTTGATAATTACTATAATTATTAATTCAGCCTAGTTATATAACATGTTTTTCTTTGTGATCGATTATCGAAGCGTAGCCACTCGACGTCCAATTATCTACCAATTAATTTATATCGTCATTAGACTGGTATTATGCGCAGCGAAAACGAAGGCGATTAGGATCCTGTGGATACCCATTGTCGTGGATTAAATGGAATTTTGGCGCAACGCTACGTGTAATACCTCCTTAAGGTCATCGCCCGCGCGGGCGCGAAACTATATAGCACTTAATAAAAGTTTAAGGATTTTTCCCATGTTAGCGATAGATAGTAATAAATATTACAAGCGATACGAATCGCGTGAGATTCACCCGCGTAATCACGAAAGTACGCCGTAGTACGTTTCGCGGATCAACGTTAAACTACAAACGCATGGGGAATAATGTTGGTCCTTTTACTGGTTTAATCGTACCGCGAGTTCGAAACTTTTCGCCTTTTGTGAATGAATTTCGCGCGACTTTCAGCACTTTCTTCTGGCTCCGCGAGCAGAGACTGTCGCGGACATACGGTGCTCGAGTAGAGGAAAGACGCCGACTTTATCTTCCTATTTTTCAACTTATGTTCCAGTTGCTAATTGCGAACACCTATAATGCGGTCTCGTGGTGAATCTCCTTGTCATGCAAATATTTCTAATAAGAACGGTTATGCGAATGAATGATAATGTGTGTTCTTTTTTTGTCGCTGCAATAGAAACATTAACGTGCCGAGATTTGCATTTGATAATTTGCTCGTTTCATCTTACTTTCTACTTGGAAACAATTTTTTGTTAAACACCAAGGCTAGGTTTGAATACTATGAATTCCTGCATAACTTTTTCTTCTTGCGTTATAAATTGATTGATCCTAATTAATCGGTGTCGTGAGATGGATCGCAGCAGTGACTAAACTTGGCGAGTGCACATATGTGTATGGTAGTTTATAATAGAAAATTGTAGATACGCTGTGTAACGTAGACGTAATGTAGTTGAAAGCACGAAGAGTGAAGAGAATCGAGTGATTGTAGCAGTGTGCGTGTGTGTGACAGCTTAGGAAGAGTAAACAAAATTGCATCTTGACGATGCGCAAAAGACGAAACAATTGTAATGTCCCTTTGAGTTTTAACCCAAGATTTTTCGTGAGTTTTATTATGTTGTTACAACTGCGTGTCGGCTGCGCGAAAAAGGTCCCCAAATCTATACATATATAACTATAACGAAAAGTAATCTAATTCTAATATTTAATTATGTTATGCCAACATTAATATTAATATATTAAATATTGTTTTGAAAAGCGTGCACGTCTTATATTTTAAATATCCTTTTACAATAGACAACCTCCATGCTATGTAGCAGACATTTTTGTTAGAAATTATTAGAATTGACAATTAATTAGGTTATCCGTGATTTGCCTTATAGTCAGAAAACCTGAAATGCCGATGTATCGAAAATACGATCCAATTGAACATGCATTGAACATACAGTAACGTCCAATTGAAGTGGAACACTTCAATTTTTGTGTATTTCTGTCAAAGTATGACCGATTTCAAAAAACCAAAGACATATTTTTTAGGAAATTTCCTCCCCGTTCGAATGGTAAAGGTTTGATCTCGATTGGATACAAAATGACTGAACGACAGGGGTTGGAGTGAAATAGTGCATTTTGATGACAATCACTTGGCGCGCGTGGTAGAGTAGTAGTCACCTAAGTACCTCGAGCGAAACTTGCAAAATTTACGCGTTTATTCAAATGAAAAATTTAGCCCCTTAGCAAACTCATTTTCGGATGTTTAAAAGTGCATTTTAATCGTTGAAATCTCAGCTACAACGTGGAATAAATATGAAACTTCTGTTTTATCGCATTCCTAATAAAAAACGGCGGGAAAGCTTCGAGTGCGCTTGCAATATCTCGAGATCTCCGTCACGGGGTCATCTCCGAAAACAATAATTTTGTGAGAATCTGCAGTATCATTAAAGATGATATCACGCAGAAACTGGACCAGATTAGCCTGCGCGTTCGGAAATTATGGTCAATTAAGTGTTTTCACTCTAAGGGGGTGTATTTCCCCCAGAGTGATGCTACAGGGATTTAATGGGGGTGTTTTTGACTGCCGAAGGATGCTCTCTTTCTTGTGCTATAATTAGAAATATGAATTTCCTTCTGGAACTACTAGTTCTCGCACTTTTCAAAAAGTCCCAAAATACACTATATCACTCCAACCCCTGCCGTTCAGCCATTTTGTATTCGATCGGGATAAAATCTTTACCATTCGAACAGGGAGAAAATTTCCTAAAAAATATGTCTGGTTTTTTTGAAATCGATCATAGTTTCATAGAAATACACAAAAATTGAGGTGTTCCACTTCTGGACGTTACTGTATATTGAGATATGCATTGGCATAACAGGATATTGTATTTTCGATGCATCACTATATGAGGAGAATAACCGTTCATGGAATTTTATTTCAGCGGTGTGGTCCAATTTGGATTTCTGGCAATTGGGTGAACTTACTGTGGTAGCCATCGATTACCGTAAGATGAATGGGCGGTTGTGATTTTGTACGCAATGGTGGAGTATGCTGTGGATTAATGTTGAGATAACTGATCAGATTGAAGTAAATTCATGCTTCATTGAATATGTTTACACAAAACTTGATACGTCTGAGTGGAAGGTTTGTTATGTAGGTTGGATCTTAAGGTCGTGAAGAAATAATTTAGGAACAACGATTGCAAAGAAATCTTTACAATAACGAATGATCATTTTCACTTTAATAGCATTAATTTACATGGGGAAATAATATCCAATACATTAGGTACAATTTTACACCCAAATCTATGAGCATATTTATGTATATAATCTACTCGTTCATCATCGCTAAATTCCCATTTAAATTACTTACACAATTAACTTAAATCTAATAATAATCGAACAGGCGAAGGAAGAGAAACGGTGAATGGACGGGGGAGGATAGTGCCTGCCGAAAATTTATCGGAATAGAAATCTCATTTTTTAACGGAGATTCGCAGGGATCAAAAAAAAGGATACCACAAAAAAGTAACTTTGTGTTCCATATTGACAATCGCTACGTTCACATTCAGATGGAAACCGTTCAAAGTTAATCGCATTGAATAACGTTGTTGATATAACTATTACGACGGATTTTAACATTGCATACAGTAACATCCAGTGACAGCCACGGATTTAAGTAACAAAAGTTACAGCGAGAAATCTCGTACGTATTATGCTTTTGAAATTGTCATTTTTTTTAAATATAACTTTTATTGTTTCCGGGATCAGGCTCGAAAGCGTGCTCCTCACTATCTATTATATAATATTTCGTGTCCCAATGTAACAATAGCTTGAAGTTGTGTAACCGTAAAAAAAGGTAGCTCACAGAACATTATAAATGTACGATGTGCTTCATTTCAAAAATATATTGCCTCTTTAAAATTTGTATATTTCCTCTTGCTTTTAACCTCTAAAGCATTTTTTTTAATGTCCCCACTAAGAATGTTTATGATTATGTTTCATTAAAATGAATCGATAAATGCAAATGTTTACTTTTCGTTTTTTTTAGATATATCTTTTTAGACATTCAATGCATTTAACGTATATATATTTATAGTCGTTTAAAACAGTTTTCTCAGTGTCTTCAAAGATTTAAGATGTTTTGTTATTGCTGTTGATTATGCAAATTGTTCAGTTTAGTTGTTCATAAATGCTGTTCTGTAAGTAAAAGTAGTAGTAGTAATAATAATAATAATAATAGTAGTAGTAGTAGTAGTAGCAGTAACAGTAGCAGTAGTAAGTCACAGTGAGAGTTAACATTCGTGGACCCAATATTTTTTTAGTCATTTGCACCCTTCAAAAGTCAATGAAAGGTGTTCAGCGAGTCTGTGAAATGTTGTTATATGTGTACGGATAGTTTTACATGTTATGAGAGTTTCTCAATAACTTTGTATCAATTACTTTTAGAATTCATATATAAAAAATCTTAATGTTCATTTCACGTTGTACACTGTATGCTATAATATTTACTGTATGTACTTCATGTACGCGCTTGTCTTGCATGATTAGACTCGATGGATTAAGAATGAACGACAAAACATATGTTCGTCAATGAATATTTTCAATTATCGCAATTACCATTATACTTTATACTTGTTGAGATCCTCCATTTGTGGCGGCGTCGGACCTTTGCTTCCGATCAAGTTCCTCGTCTATACTACGAGTTTGCTCAGGTCGATTCATATTACTTGGTAAAGCCTTATCGTCACCATTAATCAAAACAAAATTCAAGTCCAAAGTTTTGGTGCCATTTGTCTGTGAGCCAGTCTTGCCAATGGAGTCATTATGCGATATGGAATTTGTATACGTTTTGGAATTATCGATAGGTAAATTATTTCCATTCTCTTTAGGTACATCAGTCCCATTCTTGGTTTTTATATCAGTGTCATTCAAAGGATTGCTTTGATCGTTAATGCTTACAGTACCAGACACAATAGACCTACCAATGTCATTCGTACTGTTAACTTCCTTATCATTGGCAATTATATTCGGATCAGAAACACTGCTTTGTAAAGAAGCTGCCGGAGTTTTTATTCCGTCAGTTTTAGGAACGAATGTAGTCCATTCATTACTATTGGCATCAAGATATTCAATAGAATTCAGGAAGTTTTTACCAGAGAAACCCCCGACTGCATAGAGCCTGTAACACGTGAAACAGTTAAGATTAAAAACAATAAAAAAAAGTGCTAGGAATCAAATTGAAATTTATTTTACCGATCCCCAACGACAGCGACAGCAACATTGGCACGAGGAGTCGCCATGCTTGGTCCAGGTACCCAAACCTGCTCTACAGGATCATATACCTCAGTGGTAGTAAGACTGTGTGTACCGGAAGAACCACCCACGGCGTAAAGTTTTCCACGAAAAGCAGCTAATCCGCAGCCACGACGTGCCGTTATCAATGGTGGTCCAACGGTCCAGGTATTTGTGGCAGGTTCATAAATCTCGACGGAATTTAAACAGTTCCAGGCATCGCAACCACCCACAGCATAAACACGGTCTTCATAGGCGCAGACGCCTGCTTGATAGCGACCTGTTTTTAGAGATTCGATACTGGACCATTCGCCTGTTTCCGGATCGAAGATATCGCATTGTTTGATACCAGCCTACAAAAACGACATACTTTTCATCCTTATAATATCCATAGAAGAATAAGTCAGTAAATATTGAAATTAGGATGTTTTTCTTTTTTTTTTTACCTGGCCGTTCCATCCGCCAATACAGTAAATATTCTTTCCTAGAGCACATACTCCAGAATTAGATCTGGCTAAAGGTAAGTTAGCTATAGCAGACCATTTCCAGCCAGCTTCAGGATTTAGGACTTCTACAGTATCAAGTTCAGTGGATCCATTCGATCCACCGATAGCGTAGACCTTTCCATTCACTACTGCGATACCAAATCTTCCTCTGGCTTCCCTCATAGCAGAAAGAACCTGCCAGGTATTTGTTTCCGGCAAATACTGATCAACTGACTTGAGGCATTCGACTCGATCGTAACCACCGCAAACAAGAAGTGTACCATTCAGATTGGCACAGCCAACGGCACACTTTCCAGCTCTCATTGTAGGCAGAGCACAATACAATTCGGGTTCAGTTGTTAAAGTATTATTAGTTGTGGTGGCTTCACAGGTCGCTTGAGCCGATGGTGAAGAAGGAATATTTAATCTTAGTTGCACGGAGAGCGTAGCTAGTTTACCGTCTAATGTAACGATGGCTAGGAAAGTATGTTCTGCAAATAATAATTCATGCAAAATAATTATGAAGATAATAGAGATCTGAAGAAACAGTGAGATTTTAATGCATTGCATTCCCTAAGTGTATGTGTGCGTATTCTCCACTAAACAACATATATGTATAACAATTGATGATTGTCAGCGTATATACAGGGTGTTCCGAAACTACCTGACCCGGTGGGTATGGCGGTGTTCGGGAGGCTTCACTGATCACGAAAATGACCTTCTTTTTGTCCGGTAGGTCATAGTTTTTAAATGGGAGCAAGTCAAAGTTGACCAATCAGAGGGAGGCGACAAGAGAATCGTAGGCACCTGCGAACTCTGAGTTTTCCTTCCTCGCTTTTGTTTCTCGGTGGCTTCAGGCAGGATGACGTCAGCCGTAGACATGCCTATTGGAAACAAGAAACAAGAAAGAAGCCACCGAGAAACAAAAGCGAAGGAAAAAAATTCAGAGTACGTAGGTGCCTACGTTTCTCTTGACGCCTCGTTCTGATTGGTCAACTTTGACCTGCTCCCATTTAAAAATTAAGAGCTTCCGTACAAAAAGAAGGTCATTGTCGTGATCAGTGAAGCCTCCTGAACACCGCCATACCCACCAGGTCAGGTAGTTTCGGAACACCCTGTATATACATATGCTTGATCCATGTAATAAGTGTCCTTATTCTAGGATTCTCTTATAAATGACAAGAAACAGTATCTTATCTTACCACCAACTTTATTAGCGCCAATCATATTCCAATCAGGCTCAAGCTCCTGTTCAATACGTTCACCGATGTCTCTGGAGTAAATCAGTACCCTGGGCTTTGCTGGTTGCATCGTTCCCTTCCTGCGTCCTTTATTCTGAGCCTGTGTCTTCAAGGACATCTTCTTGTAATCCTGTACGATATCTGTGTCGCTTACGTCACCAGACGGCAGATCTGTACAATCCTGTAAGCTATTGTCCAACGCCAGATAAAGCAGATACGTCTTTTCCGTCAGATGATCGACAGTAAAATTGGATGAATCTGTGAGAGATCTTTTCACCCAATCCAGAACCAAGTGGCAAAGGCTGCTACCATTTACTAGTGACATTTCCTGAAGAGTCTGATGTAATACTTCAATCCTTATACATGGCAGTGACGATAAGGAAGGACTACTGCATACATCTTGAAACTAGAAAAAGATTGTTACAAGGTCCAAAATATTTAGTCTTCATTATTATTATTTTGAAAAAAAAATAAACAGTGACCAGGTATTAACTAGTAATGTTTTCTTTACTTTTGCCGGACAGACAAAACTCGATATCATATCTTTGTACGATAACTAATTAGAGTGTAAAGATTGAGATGAGTATCATACATCATGATAAAACAGATAAAAATTATCTTAGTTTGAGATATGCATATCGTCAAACAACCACATGACTAATAATGAATTTGTTTAGGTTCGATAGTTTCATGAGGAATTAGCTATAAATATAATTTTTATTACACTCACATGATCTCTAATGTAAGCATCGACTTGTTTAACGAAGTTTTCATTTTGTGTAATACCAGGTAATGCACGGACGTCAAGACAAGAACCAGGAGTCAGGGAATCCAGAAGGTGAGCTGCGCATTGCGAGGCGACTCGTTCCATTCGTAAATGCCATGCTGCCAAGTAGACATTCTTGACTTGCGATGGTAATACTTCCAGTCTATAAGATTCGAAGAATTGAGTTAATTAAATAACAACCATTACCGGTAAACTTCAAAATCCGGAAAACGATACACTGCCATATATTGCTGTAGAATTGACAAGTAGATAAGGAGGACAAGGATAATGTGTATCTATGTATATACAATGTCAGACAATTTATACATATAATGTTACTTTTACATTCTAAAAGACCATGGAGTGAATGCCTATCAAACGGATGACCTTCTAGAAGTTTCTAAAAACATTATCTGAGCAATTAAGTATGAAAGATAGGAGAAGCTTAAGAAAAATAAAGCACAAAGTCATGTCATTTCCTTTCATTGTTTAGATAACGTTTCAGAAAACTTAAGTGATTATACTGTACATGCCGGCATAATAACCGGATAAATTTCTGTAAAATTTTCCATCTTTCTATACATTAGATGAAAGAATACTTACCCATGGTATGCCACGAATAACGAATGTTGTATCTAATTACATGGTATAATCTTAAATCATTTAACAAGTGTTTTGCAAAATTATTTCAACAGTATTACATATATAAGGATTATATAAGAATTTGGTGTTATGAACCAAGCGATGTTACTTACTTTGAGGTGTAGGCATAATCGACCAATTTCTGTAAAGCAGTCTTATCGAATCCTTCATTCAGTTTGTAGGTTACTCTCTGCTCGTTGTTCCCAGGTCCATCCGCACTGAAGAGTTCGAACAAGTAAGGGGATGCAGCCGCCAGTACAGCTCTGTGCCCATGTACTTCTGTACTGCCAACCTGCAGAGGGCAATACACAGCCCTAGTGTGTCACCCAACCACAAATGGTAATGCCAAAACCAAGCCAAAAAACACAATCGTGTTAACTTTGTTGGGCCCATATTACAAATGTCGCAATTCAGAGAAATTTACGATATTAAATACCTATTCGATGACCGGCTCGTTCTTAGTAGTTGACTGTGAATATATGGGTATTTTTTCAATTATAGAAGAGAATATTTATGTTTCTTTTATTGACATTAAATAGGCCCAATAATACTTGTGTAAAAGATTTTACTATAGAGCTAGAATATTTGTTTATAAATCATTCATTAAAAAACATTGCTACGAAAAAGATGTATATCAAACATCACGTAACGCTTATGAGCATTAGGTATGTCATGTTCATTACCTATAATTGCAAATGTGGCATAGCTACAATTGTTATTTATCAATGTCAATTGTAATGAAACATATCTTGTATTTGATATTTTATAATCAATAGAATCTGGTTATCTAGTACAATTGTATCTGGTTCAAGCAGGATAGCAATCTAGCATACGATTCACATAATCATGTTTTATGAAAATTCATATCAATCAGTTATACATATGTATATGACTCAATGTATCTGCTATCAGCTTTTATTATATTTTGGCTTATGAATTTGAATCATATGACAAGACTATTGTAAACTATGCATATTGTCAATAAAATTAAAGCATGAAAATTATAAAATTTCTATTAATATTTAACATATTCCATTACTGATGTCAGATAATGATAATACTAATGTATAGATAATTTCTTAATCCATTACTTGAATAACAAATATCATTCTTCACAATTATTCAAAAGATCCACTTGACATTAATAACAATTAAATAGGATACTTACGTGTAACACAACATCACAAAAATGCCTGTTCTTCCTCATCATGTTAAGAGCAGCAAGTGTGAGCTGCGGATGGTGATCGTCTTGTAGCTCCAGCACAGAGCTATTGATGCCTTCTGCATCTCCATTTGTTACAACTGATGAAACCATTTTGTCCTTTTTCACAATTCTAACTTGAAAAATATGAAAGTAACTGATTTTCTTCAAGATCTTGATAGGACCCTTTAAGCCGTCGTCAATTCTATTTCAAAAAACACAAAAGACACATGCTTACTAATTCAATTCCACTAGACACACTATGTCTATGATTCACTTGTATAAACAGAAAATAGATAGTTAACAAAATAAAAAGATCTATTTTTGAGTAAAAATCAAATTAAAACATAAAATATAATATTTTCAACGCACCACAGGCAATAGGATACTCCATATGCAATATGACCTCAATTTATGAAACGCAAAGAGCTGATTACTATCAATAACTGAGTTCCAATTATCTGAACAAGTAAACGACATACTCATAAACAAACGTGCTGATTAGCCACATATACAATATCCATGATTCAAACTTAGAATTATTCTTTCGATAAATTAAAGTATGATAGTCAAGCGAGATGAGGAATTTTTACAGTTTCTTTCTTAAATGTTTTTATAACGCTACTTACCGTCACAGCTTATAATTTCATCAATAGCTAGATGAAATTCGGAGCACACAATTTCCCTATCGTAGTCCAAGTCAAATGTGTAGTGTGTCGTAAGATGGTTCACGACGAGTGTGATACCCCGTAAATTTAAAAACAGATGTAAAAAAGCTTTAACTTTGATTAATTTCGAGAGAATTTTTCAAGCGAAAACATTCAGATTTATCCGGATGCTAGTAGAATTTGAAGTTATTCAATTTTGCAAATACTCAATCTACGACTTCATACCCGGTACTGCGCATGTATCGAAACACTAATGTTACTACGTATCGGTGTATTACGGGGGTGACAATACGCCATTCTGTTACGCGCACTGTTCTGGTGCGTTCTGGATTTTACGAGACTAGCTCAAATGCACGCTCTAATAATTGGTCGAAATCCAGGGACAAATAAATGTTCATTCCATTGGTTTAGAGCTAGGTGACGTTCATCCTCGGCGTGTTCCGATATAAACTAGCAGTGCTGCCAGTACTGTAGATTTCATTCCGATATTGGAGTACAGTGCTCTGCGGCAGTGCCTAGTAACTATAATGACGTCATAAGTTTCTCCCATTTTTTCACTGTAAGCGCCTGAGCTCCCATGGTCAGGTACTCCCAGTGGTCCCCCACTCCCTACAATAATAGGCGGCAAAAATGGTGAAGATCAGTTTAATTGACGACGAAACAAACAATTTATATGAAATATATGTAACACCTGATGAATCAGTATGTGCACAAAATGGTAAGTGATAGCTTTTTGATCATCTTATTTTTTTCTCTTTTGTTTTGGTGCAAATAATCATATTTTTGGTATTGCCTCCCTTTGTTTTACTTGTGCAATTCACCAGTTACTGAAAAACGTTCCGATATTATTCCCAACCAGTTATAAACACTGGCGCTAACGAAAATGGAATGCTTCAACAGTATACTCCAATGACGTCACATATTGCAGTGCTCACAGAGTATATCGGAACACGCCGCCTGTCCTGGGAGTTGTCTAGGGATTTTATTTTACTTCCTCCGAGCCACTGATATTTCTGGCATGTTCTGCAGTGATTTACATCAAGATGCATCACTCTTCCTGCTAAAGAAAGTGTAGGACATTTTACGATAGTTGTATACAATAAATTAAGGAGCGCATAATTGAATAAATAAAACAGAAAAATATAGCTTATTTATTGTGTATATATATTATGATCACCAAATATACGTACGTAATTTCATATTTACCATCTGTAGATAAAGCATTATCATTAGTTGTTATTATATTTCAGCATTCGGTGAGTTTTCGCCAGCACTTTTTTTTAAGTATTCGTTTCGCAAATTTATTATATTCATCAAAGGTGATTTAGTGCACAAACACACTTGCAAAGTGTTATATCTCAAAAATCAAAATTGGAAATGCCGTGAGAGCAGAGATGACAATTTCGGCTATTTTTCATTATAGGCCACATTGTCTTATATAATTGTGATTTTCATAGGCGGTAACAGGTGTTTGCATCAATTTATTGAACATTATGTAAAATAAATACAGAAGAGTATAAAGAAATGCTCGGGCGAAAATAAACCCTTTCATAAACTTTCATTTTTTGCATTCTTCCACATATCTTTATCAGTCACACCAACTGCCTGCATACTCCATTGCTCAGATACGAGTAAAACTCTGTTATATTATGTAACAGACAAAAATAGTACAAGCGTGGATTCTATGCGAAGTATCGTATTCAATGCAATAATAATTATAACATAATATACTCAATTTGCCACATAAGAAAGTGCGCGCGCACACTTACAAGAGTTGTAAAAAAATATTATAGACAGAGATGGAGAATTTTACGTTGGTCAGAGAGTTGCCATGTACAACAGGAGAGCAGGATCATATTGATATAAAGATGGACAAGCAGTAACATGAGAAGGGCGTGCCATCACTTCTTCTTAGCATCTTTTAGTCCAGCACCAGCATTAAATTTAAAGAAAATAATGTCGCCATCTTCCACCACGTAATTACGACCTTGTTGTCTATACTTGCCAGCCGCCTAAACAAGGAAGAACGTTAATATTGTACTGAAGTACAACGAACCGCAAGATTTAAAAAAGAACGATAATCCAAAAATACCTTGACTGCCGCTTCGGAACCTTCGTTTTTGAAATCGTCGTATTTCATGACTTCGGCCATGATAAAACCCTTCTCGAAGTCTGTATGAATTCTGCCCGCTGCTTGGGGTGCCTTCGTCCCTTTCTGATCAACATGAAAGATGACAGAATACATTTGTTTTCTGTTTTGACTTCACAAAAATGTAAATCTCTGCTTCATGATATTCGACGAGGATTTACGAACCTGAATTGTCCAAGCTTTGACTTCATCATGACCAGCAGTGAAGAAGTATTGTAGCTGCAAGGCCTTGTATCCTTGAACGATGATCTTATCCAAGGCGCTGAAAAATGAAGGAAAAACGGGAGTGGTAAGTGACAATATTTCGAGCGGTTTACAAGGGTGCTACATCCACTCAAACTGAATAATTAAAAAAAAAAAAGGAATTTTGTCCGTAAAACGAGAGAAAGGAAGATAGTGGATTGTCTCAGTCCTGAATATCTTCTAATGACAGGTTGGGGTAGAAACCATGCGCGTTCGTAGCTCAGGCCCTAAGACTTTGGGACTTCAGAGAATACACATAAAGCGAACGACTTAATACCGCAATTTTATCATTCTGACCGAGGCCCTACTTTCGGAGAGGCTGATCTGTGGTCTCGAAATAAAATCACGGCAGTCCTCTGATTACCGGTTGCACCACCTGCCCCTCCTCCGTCCTGCGCTCTACCACTATCGTCATAGGACAAAGTTGAAGTGAGGCAACCTTACGAAAAAGCTTTGACCAAGGCCCTTACGATGAGACCAAAGATTCTCGATTCGAATCTCTACATTCCACCTGAAATTACTTTGAAGGGATCCATATTGTACCGCATCGCCATGATCCGGAGGGAGACGTAGCCTCCAGGAATGACCCACTAGCCAACTGAAAGATAGTCCGTGTACGCAGATTATACGCTATGCGAGGATTGGCGCGAAAACACGCGCGCGCGGGCGGTCCTGGGCATTTTTATGCAATTTTGCAAGAATTTGAATAGCCGTTCGTAAAAATATAATGCGCCACGGCATACAGTCTTTATAGTTACTCGTGGAGATGGCAGGAGTCTAGACTCTACCGGTCCGAAACCCACCATTATTACTCGCGGATACCGCGCATAGTTAAAACCCTGTGGGAACCACTCGCGGGCGTGTTGTCCCGTATTAACAGAGTCTTGAGGGACTTCCTATTTTCGGTTGTCTCACAAAGATCGGGCAGTTTTTGTACTTTATGGCTCTTCTTCGGAAATTGTGCACAAAATTCTTTTAACAGCAACGTTCTAAACTGCCAAACACTCACCTGGTTATCTTGTTCTCTTCAAAATATTTCGCTCGTTCAGCTTCGTCCATATCGAGGACTTTGTTCTCAAAAACGCCACTAAAAGGGATCAAGATTGAGCCAGGATCATTCTTATCAACCCACTCCTTGATCTTGATAAGCCTGTATATGAAAAAAAATAAACCCATAAGTACAATGCCTAATACGAAACGAATGAGCTAAGCATCATTTTATATAAACAAAGAATACATGTAATAACTTTTAATAACATAGGATTCCGATGAATGCCAATATTCTTTACAGAATATAATGAGTGAATAGTGAAAGGTACAGGTGATTATCGATCATACGAGGTCAGTTGAGCCTGCAATCTATTCTAAACGCAGGAACTGATTGACAAACATAAAATAAATCATTATGTCACAATACGAGGTTGAATTATATCCGACAGCAATAGAGGGACACGCATGTGTTTTTAAATACCCAGAGAGACATATATCTGTGATACCCCCATGTTTAATTTTCAAGTGCATTTCTTCCCACGCCATCATTTTCGAAAAGTGCTCTTATAAATCCTCACTGAATAATAAAAGCGATAATGCGCCCGGCAGCTGTCCTTTCCGCACACAGTGATTTCCCATAGACAATACACAAAACAATGAAAATCCTACACTCGTATGATATATAGATCACTCTCGAAAATTGTTAAGTATTTTCTACCCAAATATCATAGCACTAGATTACACCGATTTGGCGCTTGGTAACCAACCCTATCATTTGTTATCTTACCATTTGTTCTTTTTACGAATGTAATCCTTTTCCGATAGATTCACTAAATAGATGACTGGCTTTGATGTGAGGAATAGATATTTATTAAGTATCTCAATCTGAAATTATTAAAGAAAACAAATGTGAGGATTTGTACGCATGGTAATTTCTTAAGATCCAGTGAAAATAATTTATTTTAAAACACAAGGACGGTTTAATGCAACAAGAAATCATTTTTCGTGCAATGCAAGAGAATGACTCGCGCCATGCATTTACTGGCAGGGTGAGTTATTTGAGCTGACTTCACAAGAAGAATCGATGGCAATTCCTTCTTGGAATACCAATAACAATTTCCCCAGTTTTACAACATCCTGAATAGTCCATCAAAATTTGCTTTGCCTTGCCAGGCAAAGTATAAAAACGTGTAGCTTAGCATTTAACTATCACGTCTTCCAGATAATTTGCTGACTTATAAGAGAGAAACGAGCAAAACTGGGAAATGGACGTAATGACGGTAAGGGATTTAATCAATTACATAACACCGAAACAAAAAATCTAGAGACTTACGTCATTGGCACTCCAGTCTGCAAATCTAATGTGCTTTTTTTCATCCACCAGGATATTCTTGACCTTCAGTAACGTGTCCTAGTTAAAAAAGAAAATAGATTATATGCATGTGCTACCGTTGTTAGCATAGATCAATGCACTGCACATACTTCAGAAATGCATAGGAGACACGGCAGAGTACAATTTGCGAGTGCAACGATTACCAATCGCAGTGCATAACGAGCCTGCGTGGAATCGATTCGCAATAACTGAGTCTACACGTTCGATTGAAAAATTTGCCGTATAATGCTCGCTCGGAAAAGGCCTATTAACCCTGAGTGGTTGCCCACGCAAGCCGTAACCCCTGATCGGGACCAGGCTTCCACACAAGAACAAATGTCGGGGAGTGTTGTTAACTGCAAGTAAGCCTAGCGCGACCTCTTAAAAACGTTCAGCCGATTGCAAAGAGGCTAAATTACCGGAGGCGAATCCGTGGAATGAGGCAATACGTCGATTGGTTACCCTCGTACCGGGAACCGTGAGCTACCCTCATAGTAGGTACCTAGTCGCCTATGTCTGATTTACCCAGGATAATTTCACCCTCGCGTGACATTAGCAGCTAATATTTCCGGTACTCCGGTATGGTCTGTGATATTACTGAATTGCAAGTAAAAAAAATGACAAAATATGCAAATAATAAAAAGATATAATTTTCATCAATTTTGTTTTCTTTATCAGCAATGATAAATGCCAATGGATTTGGAAGGCGTATTCATACCTATATGCGAAGAGACTAATGAAAAGCAGATAACGAACAGCGAGAAAGAGCGAATACGAGTGACAAGAAAAAAAATGTTCAAAGGTTGAAGCGTGCCCGGCCGTTTTAACGCAGGTCGTTTAACAACTTTCGTTTACAGAGGTTCCGCGTAGCATCCGTGAGGTTATCCACGGAATTAGTAGGCAATGAGGCAATGTACAGGTCTGACGTAACAATGTATGACATTAGTGTTTCTGATGGTTTGGTGCGCAAGCTGGTACCTACTGGAGAAATAATAATAGTTAAGTCGGTTATTTTGCTAAAGTGTACGTTGCGTTCTGTCCTGTGGATTTCGCGAGAAAGAGAAAGAAAGAAAAAGAGAGAGAGAAAGAGAGGGGGGGGGGGGGGGGAGAGAGAGAATCACAAAAATATTAACCGAATATAAGGAGTAAACAAAAAATTTGCAAGGAACACCTCGCACTGATTCCTCAGAGTTTAAAAAATCAATTTGTTCATCGATAACAGCCTGGGGCACCCACATGAGCCAGTCTTACACGACAGAAACTTGCAAAAGCGTGTAGGTCTTATTATGGAATATACGTAGGGGCAATAATGGGCCCTATGAGCTTGTTAGGCGAGCAGCGTGGGGTCCTGCGACTTGTTCGATGCTATCTCGAAGAACGAGGTGCAGTACGAGTCACGCCTCCCGTTGTGCGACACCTCTAAACGTTTCGAAGTAAACCACTGCCGTCGTAGTCGCACACTTTTTTCACCACTAGTAGAGGGTACAGGAAACAGGGATAGGTCCCTGGATCTCTCAAAGGACAGTTTTGATCATGAAAATTGTGGTACTCACATATTCAGGTTTTAGTTTCTTATCATTTCCTCGTACTACTAGCTTCTCCAATTTCTCTAGATGGACGTTCAGGAACTCTACGTCCTTCAGGCGTAGTTCTTCGTTAATGATGTCCAGGTCGCGTACAGGATTTACATCACCCTCAATATGAGTCACGTCATCGTCTTCGAAAGCACCTGCATAAAGGTCACAGTGATAATATTTGAAATAATGGAGAACCAGCTATCTTGAGCAGATTAGATTTATGAGGCATTATAAAAAAATGAGATTATTGGTTCTTATCGTTAATTGATAATGAACTTTCTCGTGGAAAATAATATAACACAGTATACTAACATAAGACTTTAAATGATGTACTTGTAGTATTTATTATTAATGACAGCAAAGCCAAATCGACCTCTTTTAAGTCACGTAAATCTAAGGTTTGGGGAGTTCAAAATAATTTTTGAAACAAAAGCCGTTCCTGTAATATTTATTAGGATGCAAATAGGGATACTTTATCAAAGATAGGAAAGTATTATTAAATGAATAAATAAACTTAAAGAGGGCTGACGTAAGAAAGAAAGCGAGATCACCAGTCGATGAACGTACAACTTTCCTCAATTGACATCAATTTACCAAGAGACATATAATTTATTTTATTTTTATTCTTCTATTTCTTTAAACTGTCTTTAAACCAATCCTGTATCCTGTCATTTAAGTAGCAACGGATTTTAAGTGAAAAAGGAAAATAATAAGCAGTCCGTCCAATTTGTTCATACATACATATAGCTATCGACCGTTTGATTTCTTGCGGTGTTTCGCGCTATTTCGGTATAATTGAGGTCCTGCGACGTCGAAAACGCAAAAAAGCCACCCCAGGAGGTGTGTACATACGTATGTCGACCCAGCATGTAAAATTTACTGTATAAAAGGGAGGACGCTATCATGCGTCATGTTGGGGTCGTTACTTAGCACGAAAATATGGGGTTCATGTGCTTTTCTACGTACACGTAAGGCAGTATGATTACCTCCGACTTTCTTCTTTTTTTTTTACTACCGCTCAAATTCTAAACAATTTTAATTCTGTATCACGTGAGATATTTTTATTACTTGTACTTATATTCTCTTCTAAAGTGAAGTAATTTCGAACGCACTTACGCTGCACTAAATATTTTCCGAAAAACTGTGCTCGTACGTAGATGCAAGTGGATAATGGTGCTCTTTGAAAGCAAGTAATGCGCACCTTTCGTTCGTCCGACAACAATCACAAGTCTCGCAATAATGCACGGTTCCCAGAATTGTTGAGCCACGTTGAACGACAACGACGATATATCAAAATATAAATGAAAATAAAAGATACGAGGAAAATGAAAGAAATGGAAAAGGACAGTAATACACGCAATAAGCAGACTGAAGTGTGTGTGTGTGTGTGTGTGTGTGTGTGTGCATGATAGACATGGAGAAGTAACTGGTGATAAGGATAGGAATTAGTCATTTTTTCCCTAGCTTTTACTGTACCGATAAAGTACGCACAGTAGAGATCTTTTATCTAATTTCATTAAGTATAGAAGGTCTAAATATGGAAAAATGATAACAAATCTAATTAAATTGATATATGATTGGAGTTTTGTATAAAAAAAAAAGTTTTAAATAAAATTTGTCAAACTAAAATATATGGATGTACTTACGTGAAAGATGGAAAATCGCGTCACAGGCACTGATATGGGAGAGGAAGGCATTACCAAGACCCTGACCTTCGGCTGCGCCTTTAACCAGACCAGCAATGTCGACGACATTGAGAAATCCGGGAACTTTACTAAAATCAGATATATCAAGGATGATCTTGAGATAAGTGAAGTCGATGATGGTATAGTCACTTAGAGTGGGGCTGGTCTTGCAGAGATCAAAGGATGCCCAGGTCCGTGGTGGGGATGGGTTATATAGCGAAGGGAGAGACTGAATAAGAGAAACGGTACTGGAGGGTAGAATTCCGAGTGACAATGAGGTGTATTTAAATGCTAATGCCAGCCTCATTAAACAATTAGTCTTTGAAGAGAGGCGTCGGTAAAAGCAGAGGGGTGGGAGGGGGAGTAGACAGTGAGAGAAAAGGGAGAAGAGAAGGGTGTGGGAGCGCATTAGCAGGCTTTCATCCTGGTTCCCGTAGGATCCAGTGACACGTGCCAGAAGCTATGCTGACGACGTCGTGAACGAACGTCGACGTCGATATTATCACGTGGGGTTCAGAGCCTCTAGGGAATTCGTCCCTTTGATCCATCAAATTATTCAATGCGAGCTTCACGCTTTGCATTTTCAATCTCTAACGATTAATAGCGACCTCGTCAATAGGCAATTTTATTACATCCGATGTATTTGTATGATTAGATATCAGTGAAGATATTGATGTCAATATAAATGGGAATATAGCCATCGCAGAATTGAGTGTGATGCGTATTTAGTTTGCGTTGTGGTTGAAGAAATTTTATCTGATATGTAGCAAGGTCGACGCTCGGCGTCGGTGTACTGGTACGTCGTCGCTATTGGGTGCCCAATTCGTATTGGGTTTGATCTGCAATGCAGATCACGTACCTACTGGGACGACAGCATTCCCCCTTTTTCGACGGGAATAAAGCCGAAGACGTATGGAAATGTTCCTGGTTATTCCGAATCGTTTCCTCTGAGAAACGCTTTTATCGTGCCCGTTACGCTTCGTGGAGTTGCGACGCTACCGAGGGTTTAAACTTTTTTTTTTCTTTGTGACTTACCTAGCAGGTTTGAAGTACTCGCAGAGGTAGTCGAACCTGGCATCTGGTACAGGTACTCGACGTGCTTAAACAAAATGAGAGTAAGGTCAGACGTACAAATCGTGCGACATGTTGCAAGTGATTTGAGAATTGTTTAGCATGGATTGAGGATCACGTTCAAAATTGTGTATTATCTTAAGGCGTCTCTGTGTTATCCTCTACGAGTTTGCAGATGGACCAGGTGTCAGCTTCCGGATCGAGTAAATTTTGCGTGGGCGACGTGCGACGGAATCTGACGGAGCTGACTAATTGTGTTTTAATTGACGCTTTTGATGACGCGAAGTCACTCGAGGCCTCATCTCTTGCTGATAAACAAACAGCTGAAACTGTGGGATTCTTTTTTTTCTTCATGTAGTTTATAACGATGCTCATTATCTCTCTTCTAGCTTCCATTCTCCTAAGCACTTCTTCATAAACACTAATCTCCTTCAGCGAAGACTTTGCTTTGCCGCAATGAATTTTGAGAAACGTACCCAAATAAATGGCCGCAGTGGTCGCACTAGTTATTCCTGCCAATTTTGGTCGTAGTACAACAACGTCGTTTAAAGCGCGAACGATTGTCGTCGCGACGCTCTGTTCTAGGTAGCCAAAAGTCGGTAATGACTTCAATGAAATTGACGAGATAAGACGTGGATAGTGAATACAGTTAGAGGAGTAACGTGAAGTTTGCCGAACGAACTTATTCCTGCAGTCCACTGAACAGAATAAGTACAAAAAGTTCTTGTAGAGGACACCCAGGTCAACCTGACCAGGAATTAATTTGCGATCTGGTAGACCGTCTACGTAGCTTACTAAACAGAATCCGTCATCCTTCAATCGTTTTATCCAACAAACATGTTCTATGTTGATCTTCTCGTCAAGAACTTTGGCACGTTCCGTAGGCAACTTCATGTGATTGCGTGGTGGAAGATACTGCAGAGGCTCCTTATGGAATAAGGTCTTGTGTTCTGGACAGATCCAGTAGTAGAGTCCCCTGAAAGATACCATGCCCTGATGATCTGGTGGAGAGCCAGAAAAGTTGGTCGTGTTTTCTAAAAAGAGGCAAATTGGACAATAGGACTCAAAAGAACTTTGTCTCTCGCGGAATTCATATGGCGACACACACATATACGTGAGACTGTGCACGTTATCCTTATTGATATTCCGAAAATATTTTTGTATTTTGAAAAATCGATATTGCACTTCCTTTTTAGCTTGAATCCATACGGACCATTTGCTTTTGGTTGCATCAAGTTCCAATACATTTTGCGAAAACTTATTTAGCCAATTACGGTACTTTTTTGCATCCAAGGACCATTGCTCATGTTGATGCGTTATGTAGCAGGGTGAAAAACTGACAGGAAGTTTTCTCATATTTTTTTTATCTGCAATGGAACGTTCCAAACAGAATTTTAGGTCCGCCCTAAGGTCTATAATGATTATTGGTCCAAGGGCTAGAATTGCCAATTCTTCGGCTTCTGATTGACTACTAGGAAATCCGTCGAGAATTAATCCCTGAGAGGCTGAACGTGGATCAATGGAATTTAGTTCCACGGACCTAGCTATAAGCTCATCCGTAGCTGCTTGACCATTACGCAGACGAGACTCTATTAAACGTGCTGATTCCGTCCAAGAGTATTTTTCCAGAAGATGACGTAGTGACTGCCCGCGTGTTATCACTTTCATCCCATAAATTTCGCAGAAATGTGCAGCGAGAGTTGATTTTCCACACTTTGGTGGACCGATAATGGATATCCGGATGGGGATGACTGGCTTTGAGGAATCCACCTGAAGATACTTCAATGGATGTTCCAGGAAGTCTGTGACTGCGTCTGCGCCAGTTATGAAGTATATGTAGCGTCTGTGTAACACAGGGAATATGGATCCTTGAGACTCCATTTTTAAAAATACGTGAAAGGGTATTTCCTTACGGTATGATTGAACAGGGCAATTGCGGCCGAATGAACTTAAAAAATAATAACCACATTCCAGGAGACTTTCGGCATCATATGGGTTCACAAGTTGTACTCGTTCAAACATAGAGTAATTTCGAAAAATATATGGATATAAAATTTTCAAAATGGATAAATATACTATCCTCTTATCTAATTCCCCATTTACTTCTATCCATGGAATGTTTTCATTCTCCATTGCCATACGAGATGTAAGTAAATTTTTACTGGAAGAATCGTAAGCTTTCTGGACATTTTCAACAATTTTATTCAAAGTTTCATCAGGACTTTCCCAATCATCGAACAGAACGGGTTCAGGATATTCACCTTTCCAGAGTTCTTCAAGTTCTATTCTATCCAAATTACTTTGATACTCATCAGAATCACCTAAATTATAATCTTCAGATTCTTCCGACAATAAGGTTAATAATGACGTAACTGATGGTGATGTAACTGATTCAAAGGAATGATAAATCTGTTCAATATTGTCGTCCTGTTTATAATCCTCATGAATATCCTCCGTTTCCATCATATCCATTCGTAGAATATTCCACCTTTCTCTTCTTCTCTCCTTTAGCCTTTTTTTGATCCACTTTTCCTTCTGCATATCATAATATGAAAGTTCTTCCTTATACCTCAAATTTTCTGCCATTATCCTGGCATTCTGCTCAGTTTTCCAGGATTCAAAAAGTCCTGGAATTAATCTTTTCCTGGCGGTGTTTTCGCTGCAGCGCAGTTCTATTATTACTTCCGGTAACGCAAAATTCTCCAGAGCAGCATCAACATCTTCTGCACAACTTGGAAATGATTCAAGCAGGGCATTAAATTCATTATACGGACTCTTAAAGAAATTTAATAAACATTCCATTAACATTTGCTTTGGAAGTACTTTACCTTCTTCAAAGTATTTTCTTATGAATGTCTTTATAATATCCTTATTCGTGTTATAATCATAACTCTGAAAGTCCTTAGGTAGTTGCACAAATTCAGTTAGATCCTTAACGGTAAATATATCTTCATAATAGCGGCTAATTATCGGTGAACCACGATCCTTGGCATAATCGATAAAACAGCCAAAATAATCAATAAAAGTAAAGCCATAATCCTTGGAGAGCATCTTCGCCATAGTCGTTTTACCACATCCTGGAGGACCTACTAGACTTACGCGTAATGGTGGCAGTAGTAAACAAGGTCTTTGACGGGGTACAAATTCGTAAGGATCTTTAAGGAAATCCTGCAATGCTTTTTCGCTTGACAAAAGATATACCTTGTTCAAGAAGAGAGTGTCCAAATCGTCCTTGCCTTTCCAAAGGATTCCATGGCGACGCAGTGCAACGGGACAGAAATATCCTGTATCCCCGAAAGGACGATTATCTTTATTGGTTTTTTGTATTCCTGTACCGTCCTCATTTTCTTCTTCTTCTCCTTCTTCCTCTTCCTCTTCTAAACCGTTCAAGGGATCGACATCCTGGTATATTTCTTCACGATCCTCTTCAGTCATCATTCGAGCTTGAGGAAGATAAAGATTTGTTATCTGTTTCAGAGTGTCATCTAAAATATTAGTTTGCATCTGTAGATCACAGATTATCGTTTCGATTTTCAAATCAGCCAGAACATCCTTAAGGATCTCCCAATTAATTCTAAACTGCTTAATATCTTCAATAAATTTTTCTAAACGTTGTAACTTTCTTTCATTCGTATCGTCGTTGTCAATTACATTTTCATATTGAATACAATTGTGAAATTCATCTTCCTCCGTATCATTACAACGCCACTTTTCGATCAGATGATCATAAGGATCATCCTCGAGAATGATAATAGATCGTTCTATCGTAATCCCAGCATCTCTGATTTTTATCCAAATTTCAGGATCTGTATACATGCCATTCAGAATCCAACCACTTTCGCAAACTACTTCGCCAATCAACGATTTATTAGGCAAGTTATTAATGTGTTGTAATAAAAACGTAACACGATCCTCTTCGCTCAATTCTATAAGTTCATCATATTTTTTTAGTAAATCTTCCAAGATCTCTAAAAGTTCAGGATCATCTTGGGTGACTTCTCTGATAGGTGGTTCATCATGAAGGAGAATATCCGGTGTAAGTTCATCAAGTGCTTCTTGATCCTTAGCTAGAACACGTTTACGAAAACTCTTATCGTTTTCTAAAATTTGCACTTGGTACTCCTCAATTTTTCTTTCAAGATCTAAGTGACCTTGATCTCCTGTCGAAACTCCTTCTTCAAGATCATTCAATTTTATAGCAAGATTCTGTAATTCTTCGTGCCACGCATTTAGTTCTTCAATTCTTGCTTCTTCTCTTTCTGCTCTTTGTCTCTCAAGTCTCGTTTCTAATTCTACGATCGCTTCGTTCATGTGATCTCTATTTAGAGCAGTTAATCTAGATCTTCGAAGATCCTCTATAAGACCTTTTTCTATAGATCGTACATCGATAACAGTAGCATTGAGAGTTCTTCCTAAATGATCACTAAGTTCATCAATGCCAGAATGTTTGACACCCAAAATCGCAATTTTACAACTAGGTCGCGGATTGGGCGGTACTAGAAACGGTCTAGGGTTTTCTAGGAAGATTTTCTCAGCTTCCGATGAGGATAGAAAGTAAATTTCACTAAGAAAACGCACTGCGTGTTTTGGTTTACCTTCCACAGTCTGTCCTTGAGCCAAAGCGACGGGACAGAAATAATTCCAGGCTGATAATTTCCATGCATATTTCCACACAACCATTCCTTTCTTAGACAAAATCCGAAATGATTCCTCCAGGGTCTTGCCTTCAAAATTCAAAAATTGTCTAGGTGAATCTTCGCCAACTTGTTCCATTTCATATTCTGACATTTTCTTTGGTAATATTACACGGGACAGCGGGAGCATCTTTAATTTTACACGAATAATATCAAACGCCTCTGTAACCGAAGAGCGTCCGTTAACACGAATTACATATTGTGGATCATGTATAAGAATTCTTCTGTCTATAAAAGGTAAAGCATATTTTCGATAAATATCAGACTGTTTTCTAATATTTTCACGAGAATTACTCAAACGCTTCAGCAAATGCTTGTCAAAGTAAGATTCGATGTCAATTGAAAAAAATTCTGGATCGCTCATATTTGTATTTCTATGAAGTATATCTACCATATTTCCCGAATATGGATTATACAATAAGTTTTCCCGTGTACAAAATATGTCATGCTCAGGACACATGGAATAAATAATTACTGTTGGCGCAATTGACCATACCGTAAAGATCTGCTCAATCTGATTGCTCAAATCTGACTGTAATTTATCCTCAGATTCAAAACAAGTTTCTTTTGATTCTTTACTTATAGATTCTTCTGATTCATCCCCAGAAATCCAATATGGATAAGATGAGTAATCCAAATTTTGATTAGCTATCAATGGTATTCCCTGAAGAACATAACCTCTGTGCAAAACATCTTGACGTGCAGCTCTACTTTCCATAAGGTCCAAGATCATTTCAGCTCCTACTGACTTGCCATTTCGAAGGATCTCTTCCAGCAAGCAGCCCTTACTAGATTTTCTATCGATTTCCTCCTGGATTACAGTCTCCGGAGAGATGAGCAAGCAATGCCAGTAATCAGCAATCATCTTAGCAAGAGCAAACCCGTTTAATCCTGGTTTAGCAAATATCACAAAACAAGTAGGTTTCATTAGAAGATATTTTTTCCATGCTGCCACCTCGTAGTAGGGATCACGATCGGTGAAAGGATCTAAAGATTCGTGTACCGATTTCATTCCATAGAATATTGCACACTCGCAGGGGTCACTGATAAACTCTTTGACTCTGGTAAAAGGATTCGTGTCCTCGGCGAAGGAGTAATAAAGATTTGCTCTAGGATGCCAAGTTTCTGTAATACCCATTTCCATTTTATCTTTGACTCTTGCATTTTTCAAGTGCTCAAGTAAACTTCTTCGAGCGATGATCGACGTGGTAGCTGGTCCGATTTTTCTTGCGGTTTTAACGCGTCCGGATCGTAATCGATTTTCACACATTCTTTCTGGGAATAGAAAAATTCGCAAGCAGTAAGTCTCGTGCGTCTCTGTATGCTCACTGTCGGTTGCAAGTGGTCATGGGAAACTATGAAAGGTGAACGACGTCCAATGCCGCTGCGTTTCCTCACCAGCCTCTATGGAATAGTATGATGTGCAGAAAAAGCGAAGAGAATCACAGAAACAAAAGCCAAGGCCTGTAAACGCAAGGTATTAATGGTGGATACTTATTTTCATTGGGGTCAATCGTGCAAAAGGGGAAGTTCTCAGCGGCTGCCTGACTCTTGGTGAGAACATTGAAGAACGTAGATTTGCCGACGTTGGGTATACCGACGATGCCGACCTTCAGATTGGTACCAACACGACCGATCAGGGGTTTCCGCTCGGGTTCCTCGACTTTCTTGGGTGGCATCCTGTAAGAATAAACGGCAGGGAATTGCCCATGAGAAATACTGTCCATTAGAGATCACGATCTAGGCATCAAATTCTATAGGTACTATTTCATAACTAATAAAATACAATATCCACAGTACAAAATTATATTCTCTTTATAAAATCTACTGTCTTTTATTAACTAATGAAAATTATTACTTTTTATCAATTTTTCATAATCACATTTAACTATCTTTGATTTAATATGATACAATTTACATATACACATGACAGTGGATTTAATTTCTAATGCTTTTTTTGGGAATATAGGCATATATTCAGAGTATATAAAGGAGCATATAGAATTGTAAAACCGCGCGCAGCGCCCTGAAGCATAATGCTCGCGGTAACTAATTATATTAATGCGGACGGCATCAAGCGATTGCTGTGTTTACGTGAGATTGCCGCCGGTATAAACTGCGCGCGGTCCACGGTATCAAACGATGAAACGGTCCGGGAACTAAGGGGACCCAAGTAAGAAACGAAGGAGGAACATGGCGGGTTGGGCCCGATTACTGGGCACCACCGACCGCGAATCACCGGCATCACGCCGAGAATCCGCAACCGCGCCCCAGGCCGCCAATCCGCCACCGTCCTCTGCGGTTCCTTCCCCCGGTTTCTTCGGTTAAACGTCGATTCGCAAACCTCCTCTCTTCTGCCAGCCTATTTTTGCTTCACTTTCTTTCTATTTTTCCCTTCCGTCCTTCATCATCCTACCCCTTTTTCGCTTGCCCCTGGCCTTTCTTCCAATCGATATTTTTTTCCTCCGTCTTTTTACTTATCCACCATCGTAACTGTCTGTCGTTGTTTTTCCGCGATATCGAGGAAATTTGCAAATTACAATAATGGCCACCGATCCGCCTGCGACGCTTCACGGCCCTCGAGGTACGAACGATGCCCTTTAACTACTTCTTGTTATTATTATTCTTCTTTTTTAATCTTTTCAACCGATCCTCTATCTTTGCTGAGATAAAGGTGCTTTTAGTACTTCATGCGAGAATCTTAGTCCAACACATAAACGGAGCATATAAATATCACAAGCGTATAATAAATATGACTATTAAGCTTTTCAATGAGATACACGAAATAATTTACGAATCTTTGTAATAATTAGGTAGCATTTTCTCACAACGAGAATAAAGAACACATTGAAAACGGAGCACACTTTATCAAAATGATATGAATGTATTCAAATTAAAGGTTTACACGTTATTGACATTTCGAATCGATACTGTTATTTGTTTTTTTTTAAAAAGATGTTTAAATCTTTAAAAAAAAAATTAGTCTTTAGACTAATATTTCTCCCGAATAGTTATTTTCTTTCGTTTAAAATTTTTACAGTGATCGTATGATCATAGCCTTAAGTATATCTTAAAATTCATTTAAAGTTACGGCTCGACGAAATTCCTAATAAGCTACAAAATATCTAAATCGGTCGAATAATTGTTCCCCTTAACTGTAACCTATAATTCCCTATACGTAACTCCAGTGGATAAATGTAGTGCACGTAGCATTTATAATTACATGTTCTAAAAGGGTTTCCGCAATGCTGACAGTGCTGCCGTCTGTTGGGTGACTCGCGATACACCAACTAACCTGGCACAAGCAGCCTAACCTCTACGGCTATAACCTAACTTTCGCTCAATTAAATATCCAATATTACAAATATTTAACATAGGTACGCTTTATCGAGGTCAATCCTCATTATCGTTCCCATAGTCATTATCGATTTTGTAGAGTTCATAAATAGAATCCTGACTGACAACAAAATCCGCACGTCCACATTCACGACTGAATTTACGTCCAGTATCACAGAACATTAACACCGTGTATATTCCTAGGTAAGTAACAATAATATAGGATACAAAATAATAAAAAGATATGAGAAAAATACCTGGTAGATAAATATGGAAGAGCCGGCACGTATTTATGTATATGTCGTGAACGTCCGACGACAACGTGTCGCACGACTACGGGGGATAAAAGAGAGCGGGTATACGGAACAGTCGTGACGTCACTGAAAACTGCATTACCATACGGCAACAGCAGTGAACTACATTATCGACTGTGAAAGGATGACCACGCGCACGTTATAAACTTAGCTCAGGACCAAGAATTAAATGCTGAAAACAATTTGAACTTTCGTTTCATGAGACAAGATCATATAAGAATTTCCGTTTGGAGTTACAAGAACATTGTCAAGGAGTTCTAGGATACGTATTGTGTTGGTATTAACTGACAAACGTCATATTGAAGAAAACATGATTACAGATATGGTATCCCAGCCGTTTGCACGATCGTATCGGTACCAGTAATATGAACACGACGTAAATAGGTGGAACGGGGAACCGGTGTCGCGAGCATGTTAGACCGTATCGCTGATGTCTGTAGCTCATGTAGGATGACAAGAGGTTATGTTTATGAAGCGTTGCTGGCGCGTCACAGCTACATGTTATATCGTGGCGAGCTGTCGTTACAAGATACAGGATATAAACGATACCTTCAATGGGTGTATGAATACGTTAAACACTCAGGAGTAATAATAAGAGACAGAAGAATCTAATATGGCATTGGGGAAGACGTCGAAGAGTTGTACATGTTTCGAATACTCTTAAGATGGTTTGCCTAGCATTATAGTAATAGTATTCCAATTTCTGCGAATTCCATGTATATCGTTCCTTACGGAAATACTTCCTACGTGTTGTTTAAATAACGCAGTAAAAAGTTATCCAAAAAATTTAAAAATTTTCAATTTAAAAAAAATTGTTGCAACGTTCGACGTAAAGGAAGTGTCTCGTAGAAAGTGCATATACGTTTACCGTTTGGAATGTGAGATATCTCGAAAAAAATATTGCTATTTTAACAAGCGAAGTATATCTATACATATAGTGCATTTTTGGCTATTTTCGTTCCGTTCATCTCGTAAACTAGACGGTATATATATTTAAAATTTGCAATCAGAACCATCAAGCACCTACCAGGAACATACACATACAAAATTGAGATCCGTATCTTAGAAGTGTACGAATCAAGGAACCACGCTGGTGAGTATAAAGTAAAAGCATTAATTGAAGATCTAGAAAGAAAGAAAGGTTGAGACTTGATGGGATTAGTGGTATAACATTATTCTATAGATATGCTGCGATTGTTATTAGTCCAGTGCGATTTAATGCGTGGGAACGCGTTGGTGGTAAAGACAAATTATTGACCGAGAGAGGGTGAAGAAGCAGGCGTCTCCACTCATGATTCCAGGTATAGTATTAAAATTACCACGGAATGAAATAAAAGAATGTATGGTGTCTGCTAAGGTGGCGCCAGAATAGGAGGGTGCGGCAACTCGCGACTCTCGTCCATATGTGTGAAACATACTACTTTGGAAAAAGATCCTGTGGATTTGATAAATAAACATTGTACGAGTACGCGAACAAGTATATGTGAGTATATAGCGTACAGCATATATTATATGATATAATACCTAAGCTCTTCTCCCTTTCAAATTGAATAATCTCTACATATGTAAATACAGGGCGATTACCATAGCTGTTGTGATACACGCCGATCAAACAAGTTAAAATAATAAGGAACAATCATAATGATACTATCGTTTTATTCGCGCTTCCATATTCACATCCTTCCTCAACTCACTGGACACACATGACTTTTTCTACGGTTGGTCAATGGCCGTCGAATAGCGCGAGTCGTCCTTGTAGCGTGTGATTATTTCAATTATTTTATTACGTCCCGCACCAATCTAGGCCCGCATAATGCATATAATCAGAAGCCTATTATTCTATAGCAAGGAACCTCACATCCCATACGTAGGGCTCGCTCGTTTTAACGATATTGTAATTTGGAGACCGCAAACTCGCTGACGTCACTGATTCTACCGCCATCTTGTCAGCGCTACGAACTTTTGGCTATTTTTCTCTTTTTTTTTTGTATTATCCCCAACCCCATCCACATCTCTGTATTTACTGTATGCACGCTCCTTCGTCTTTTGCTCATCTTTATTATGTCGATCAACGATGTAGGACGAGGTTGCTCGATGATACTTCGATTATAGGGATCTTCGACTAAATTAGATATTCCGCGAATTGATGTATTGTCTTACCGATTGGCTTCATCCTTCCGCTTCGTCCGAGCAGTGCATACTGGGATTTCGCGTGCTATCGATTTCACGATTCTCCTTATATGCAGGAAGATTATCAACGAAGACACCATATAGCTGCTCCAGGAACAGAAGGATACGAGGAAACCATGGAACTTTATTACTCGTTCATCCTGCATGTATCAGACGAATAATTATATAGACGCTACGAGCCGTAAAAACGTTATCGACCTATACGGATGGCTCAGTTGCCAGGCTGGTTGAGAAAACACTCAATAAAATGGGATACTGCCCATAAACTAGCTATTATACTCCGACATTACTCTTTTTCTTCTCTAACGATAAGATACCAGCGCCCTTGTTGACCACCCTGCATTAAATTCGCGAGTACAACCTGCTGTCAATATCGCTATGAGTTATCGGTGCAGTAAATAAACATAAACTATGAGAAAGAAAAAACGATAGAAGGAGGAAAAGAAAAAATGCCCCTGTTTCCGGGAAACAATTGCAGGGCCATGATAAAACAGGGGGTTAGTCCCGCACTATCCTGGAATTTCTTAGTCAAGAGTTAAGTATCTCCCTATTATCCCGGCAAGTGCTAAAACCCTTTAACCTATTCAGATACCCATAAAACCAATGGACATTGCCCTTGGTACCATTATCTTCGCCCTGTCATAGAAAATCCTTAAACAAACCTTCTGCTTCAAGATGGGAACGAGGATAAGGTTGAGGAGACCAGCACGTGTTGAAGAATCGGTACGGCAACGGATGAACGGAATAACGACCTTATAATAAGTTTCTGGGCTACTCGGATCCTAGTAATGGTCCATCAGCTCCATTATCCGCTCATAAACCGTAATACTGCTTTCTACGTTGCGCCCATTCTTGCGCTTTTTACGACGAATGAGATATTGTGCAAGACAAATGTGCTCTTGAACACTTTTTGCGATGCTTAGTCCATCCCTCCTCGCGGTCCCGACTCCTTGGATCATCGAAGCTACTCATCGCTCACTGGGTAATCTTTAAAGTCATCTCGGCAATACCTAATGGAGAACAAGGATATCGTGTGCCAGGATAATATGGGAAGTAAGAGCTGAGATCCGAACCGCAAGCTCGTGAACCAAGAAAGTCTTCGTTACATTAAGTGAAACGTAATAAAGGTGCACGACGTACAAGTTTGGCCGTAAACAACGCGCATAAAGCAGCGAACCCTCGTGAATGCGCACGCGGGGATGTACGTATGCAGGTAAAAGGGCAGGTTACACCCGTGAATTGTTACCAATTGTTGCCAATCGAAGTAACACGCGTCATTAACGAGAAAGAGGTGGGTAAGTTTGTAGGGCCTTTGCGTGCAACCTCAGTGCTTCGTTATAACGAGAATTTTTTTTTAATTATTCGCTAATTCTTAATGTCATAGTATCTGCACCCCTGCGAATCTCCCATATGGCATGGAGTCTCATGAATTTGGTAATTCCACAAGACAGGGACGTTTGATCGGATCACTGCATGGTTTTCTGAGGTATTACGTAACATTAACGACCACCTAAAAAAGAGGCTCGGGTATGGAGCAGATACTTGATTAGGTTAGGTTAGATACTAGAGAAGCTAGGACAGGTCGTTAGTACCTACTTCCGTTTTGTCAGTTCGAGCACCGGTGCTAATTGGCCGACGACACGACCGCTTGTACTTTATAATCCAGAAATCCGGTGCCTAAAGACAGACATTAGTTTTCGACAGTGTTCATCGCACCCTTAACCATCGTCCAGCCCCTGCTGCCCCTGCTGCCCCTCGTGCGTGGTTCATAATGACCGCGAGATTGTTTGATAATGGAAAATTGCTTCCATCTCTGGGTTGTCACTAATTGGATGTGTCAACGTCATTATTTGCTTACGTTACCAATAGTAAAAATACGTAATTCGTACCACCGACAAAGAATTGGGTATCAACGTTATTCTCGCCATTATGAAATTTCGAGGAACACAGGGTTACCTATTCTGAAAGAAGACTCTTCTCCGTTGAATTTCTTACCGGCAAGGAGCTACAAGGAGGCGAGACGGCAATTACGTTCAGTACCTACTGGCGGCGTCCTAGCGATTAGCATATGCGCCAGAATAAAGGAAAAAATTTAAGTAAAACGCAGCCCAACAGTGGTGGTGCTGCATCGCTTTGGCCGCAGCAAGAAGAAAACCAATGCGTTCGTGCATCGCGTGGCTGAACGTGAACCAAGCGGGTGGCCACGCCCCCTTAGACAGCCGCCAGCCAACAATTAAGATTTGATCGGCAAAAATGGTCGAGGCAAAATGGCGTTGGTCACTGAATACGTAATGTTAAAGGGGAGGTTAGGATGATATCCCCGAATTTCAATGACGAATCGCCTACGCGGTACCACAGATCTACCATTTGACTATGAATTATTTAACCGTAATGTTGGTAACTAGCTATGGAAACAATCGGAACCCTTCATTGCCTTGTAATAATAAAAGATTTATAGACCTAATATATATATATATATATATATGTATACACATATGCATATAGATACGTCTCTACTTGTAGCAGCGATCAATATTTTTACAATTCCCTTACAAGCTACTCGTCGTACTTCCTTTTATTTCTTTCTTTTAGCTCTTTTTCCTCATTTTTTTTCTTCTTCCTCGATTCCTTCTTACCTCCTTTGAGTCGAGACGAGGCGGTAGCAGTCTCGCCAGGGCGAAACATGGGCCTCACTCGAATTAAAATTGCAATAGCGTTCTCTGGCTCACGATATCACGAGCTGCCGAGGCTCTAATCATGGTAGGGTACGTACATACGAGCTACCATGTTACCCCTTAGCAAGGGCTCTCATTACAGTAATGTCCCTCAATCACAGCGCAACGTTGGCAGCGCAAGAACCCCTCTTT